CTGTAAGGAAAGGAAGGGAGAAGGAGGAACAAAAGGGAGCGAGCGAGAACTTGGGCAGGAGGAGAGGAGAGGAGAAAAGGGACACAAAGAGCGGCAGGAAAAGGGAATTTTATTCGGGATGAAGGTTGGAAAAGCGGCCCGGGGGCTCCTCCGGGCAGATTCGCCCTCCCCGAGCGGCTCCGCTGGGGCCGGAGGAGCCAAAATCCGAATTTCGGGGAAAATCCGACCTTGACTGTGGGAATTGAACGGCGCCTCGGAGATTTGGGAGTTCGGGATTTGGGAATTTTGCCCCCCCCCCGCGCTGCTCCCCCTTCCCCCGGGGCACCTCGGGGGTCCCGGGGGGTTTTGGGGACCCCGCTCGGGGTCTGGAGCTGCTCGGGGAAAAGGCGAAACCCCCCAAAATTCCCCAAATCCCGGGCGGCTCCTCCCGGCCGCCGCTTCCCGCAAAAAAACCCCCAAAAAGCGGCAACAAAAAAATCCCCAAAACAAGTAAAAAAAACCCCAAAAAATCCCCCCAAAAGCAGCGTCAGCCTGAGCACGAGCGGGTTTATTCCTCTCATTTCCCTGTCCTTCCTCTCCTGCCCTTTTCCCCCTTCCTTTTGTTTCATTTATATTTTTTCCTTTTTGTTTTAAATTTAATTTTTTTCCCCTTCGCGTTATTTTTTCGCCCCCGTTCCTCCCCATCAGGGCGGAATTTCTGGGAGCAAAAGAGAAAGATTTGGGAGCGAGGGGGACGAGCCCGGCTCGGGAGCATTTTTGAGGCACCAAGGGCAGAATTTGAGCTCCAAAAAGGTGCCAGAAGTGGCCGAGAAAGGCTCAGACAAAGGCTGAGTTTTTATTTAACCGCGTCTCCCCCCTCCTTCCTATTTATTTTTATTTTTATTATTATTTTTTATTATTTACTGTTATTATTTTATATTCGAATTTATGTTTTTTTTCCTCCCCCTTATCTCCGCCAGGAAATAATAAATCTCCAAACCCGCGGGCTCAGCTCGCCCGGCGCTGCCGGAGTTTTCCTTTTTCCCTCGGATTCCAGGAGGGAAGGATCCGGGATCCGCCACTTTCACCCTCCATTCCCAGAAATCCTCCCCCATCCCCAAAAAAATCACCCCGGGAGCCGCGGGATCCCGGAATTCCAGCCGGGAAAAGGGAAAATTCCCGAATTCCCGGCGCTCGCTGCTCCCTCCCAGGCTTTCCCCCCCCCCCCCAGAAAATATTT